ACTTGCATAAATTTTTGTAACGCATTTTCATTACTGACTAAATCTAATTTTAAGGCTGACAGTCACAGTCAGTTCTTATTTTAAGATTGTCTTAAGTAAATTCTTAAGATGTTGTACGACAATTCTAGACGCTATATTGGATTAAGAAATGATAGATTTCAAAAAATTTTTTCCATTCTCGATATAAACACAATGTATAAATTCCAACTCAAAGACACATATTAGTGTGTATATTTTAATTCTTTTCAAATTCATAAAAAAATTGACATAAAAATTATTGCATTTAGTTAATAAAATAGACGACTATGAGATCTTATATCTTAAATAATACATAAGTTTTCTAAATGTAATTAATATTGAAATTAAGACAAAATAAAAAAAAAGTTGAAGCAAAATAGAGAAGAATATATCTGGAACATCGTTCTTAGTATTTTTATACGAATTAATTGAAACTTTCAGAAATACTAAGAAAGTCTACTTTTTTTAGAATTTTTTGTTTAAGTACGTGAATTGTGAAATATCCTAAAAAATTTCCCTAAGATTTCTTATTTAATTTTTAATTTCTGAAAAAATATCTTAAATTTTTCAGATTTTTTATCAGAAATTATAAAATAAGAAATCTTTGAATATTTAAGAATTTACAGAAAGAAAATATTCTATATTTAAAAGATGTAATAAATATTCTTAGCACTTCTGAAGTATAACAATTATTTACAAATTCAAACATTATATACAAAATCAGAAAACTTTTCTAAAAAGTTATAAAATTATTCAAAAATTATAAAATTTACATAAAGAAATTCTATTTAATAAATCTTTTAATGATACAATGTTCATTAATGAGTCCTTAAATGATAATTTTCATTTCACATGTCCTATAGTGGAAATAAAAGTTATTGAATTTTAAGCTCAAAATTGAATATTCAAACAGATTAATTTAGCGAATTTTGTCTCATAATACGCGTCTGCATAAAAATGGAATTATGAAGATATGTTTTTTATGCAGATTTTCAGCTCGTTTTTACCAAATTACTAGCATGTAAGTATATTTCAAAGTCTATAATTACATTAATTACTAACAATTATGGAAATTTTGAATATACTTCAAACTTTTCAATCATATATTGTTAATTTAAGGTTTAATTTAGTAAAAACAAGCTAGAGGCCCTCCATCACCCTTGTCGATTTTAGCGTCGGTCTTTTCTTTGTAAATATACTCACCCGTAAAAAAAACGAGTTACTAATAAATTTAGTACTCCGTTTTTGCAGGTAAGTATATTTTAAATTTATTTTTTATTTTAAGTCTAATTATTTTATTGTATTTTGCTAATCATATTGCATAATGATTTGCGAAATACAATAAAATAATTAGCAATCATATTACAATCATAACTTTTTAAATATTATCTTTTATTATAATTCTTTATATATTATCAATAATACAATAATAATTCTTTATAATACAATGTACAATTATAAATGCTGTTCGAAATATAATAAAAATTATATTATAGAAGCATAATTTATAAAATTAGTAATGGGGGAGTACAAAAACGTCGAAAATACATACGATAACATAAATTTTTCTAAACCAACGTTTAATGAATTATTGATAAAAGCGGAATGAAATACTGACAGTTAAATCGCAATTAGATTCACTATTAATTATTAACTTCTGATTGTAAAACTTATTAATATCGCGATAAAAAGTCATTAAATATATTTACAACAGCACTTTTATCGCATTCAAGATAACTATCCCAATAATCTGATCATATTCTTCCGCCTTATAATATGATACACTGGCTAATATTCGATACAAAGAAGAACAATCTTCATAGTGGAGAATAAACTTAATGTAAATAAAGAATAATTAAGTATTAAAGAATATGAAGTATCTTAACGTAAGAATTTAGCTAATTAGAATGTAGGGATTTCAATTAGTTGTGCTTCGGCTCAGGTTAAAAGGAGAAAGATATTATGTTAATAAATATCCAGTAAGTAAGTTCAGGTAAGTGAATATAATAGTTGAGGAAGAGTTAAAGTATTTTGATTTAATAAGAGGAAGGGTATAAAGGATTAAAATTGGTATTAAAAGAGCGATAACTCCTCCTAGTTTATTGGGAATGGATCGAAGAATGGCATAAGTAAATAGAAAATATCATTCAGATTGGATATGAGTGGGGCTTACTAGGGGATTTGCTGGAGTAAAATTATCTGGATCTCTAAATATATATGAGTATTGTATAACAATGATTAAAAATAAAAAGGTAGTAATAGTGAAGCCTATATCTTTTAAAGTAAAATAAGAGTGGAAAGGGATTTTATATAGGTTTCTGTTAATTCCTAGTGAATTTGAAGATCCTGTAGAGTGTAAAAAGATTAGGTGGATAAAAATAAATAAAATAATAATGAATGGGAGAATAAAATGGAAAGAAAAAAATCGGTTTAAGGTTAAGTTATTGATTGAAAATCCTCCTCAGATTTATATAACTAATATGTTTCCAATATAGAGGATGGTTGAAACAAGATTTGTAATTACTGTTGCTCCTCAAAAAGATATTTGACCTCAAGGAAGAACATATCCTAGGATGCTATTAATATAGATAAGAAGAAAATTGAAACTCTAGAGATTCAGATGTTAGTTAGGTTGAATGAGTTATAGTAAATATTTCATCTAATATGCATATATATGAAGATAAAAAAAAGAGGCTCCATTTATATGGATATTATGTATTATTTATCCGTTGGAGACATTTTGAATGATGTGAATAATTCTATTAAAAGCAATATTGATATTAGGACAATAGTGTATGGATAGAAATAACCTCTAATAATTTGACTTATAAGGAAAAGGCCTAAAAGGAATCAAAAATTTCATCAATAAGAGATGTTGGAGGCGGATGGTAGGTTTATAAAGTGTTTGATTATTTTATTTACTTTATTCATATAAAAAGGGAGGAGATGAAAGTTAGTATATATGTTGAAAGAATAAAATTTAATAAAAGTAAAAGTGGTTTTTTTTTAAATATATTAATATAAATAAAGTAAATAATATTATATATTATAGGATTAGGATAAAATATTAAAAATATAGGAAATAATTGGTATTGGTATGATTGTATAAGGGCGGGGTGTTAATTTAGTTGATTTTATGTAATGGGGCTTATTTAATTGAGCATGTTTCGATGATTAAAAATATTGCTAATAAAAGGAAGATTATGCAACTTAGAGTAGTAAGGATAAATGTATATATAATACTTGAGATATTTTCAAAAATTTTTTTATTTAAGTTAATAGAAAAATTGTGATTAAAAAAATTAGAGTTTAAAAAGGATGAGTGAAAGTGTGTGTTAAATTTTATTATCATGAATATGGATATATTTATAAAAAATTAGAAGGAGGGTAGGTTTAATGATAAAATTATTTTTTATGTTGGAAATTAAGCTAGTAAAATATAAGAAAATAACAAGGAATCCTCTAATTAAGGTTAGAAATATAATAATTGAATATATATAGTTTTTTGATCAGAATGATATTATTGTAAAAATTAATAAGGAATGAATGATTAGAAGTATAATTATAGATCTAATATTAAAATAATTAGTTAAAATTAAGAATATAATTAAGAATGTTGTGAATAAAAAAATAATAAAGATTATGTTAGACATTTTGTTTATAATCATATAGGTAGGAGGAAAAGAAGGGAAAGGGAAGGTTTTTAAGATTTAAAAAATTTAGAAGAAGAGGGAGGTAGTTGGAGATTATTGGAGAGTGAGGAGGGCAAGAAATAGTTTAATTGAGAATATTAATTTTGGAGATTAAAGGTGTTGTATATAGATGTATATTTTTTTGATTTTTTGTTTTAATAATAAAATTATATCTTTAATTTACAAAAGTAATTAAATAAATAAAATATTTTTTAATAAAACTATAAAATATGTTTTTTTAGATATTATAATTTATATGTAAATTTTTTTTATTTCTTTGATATTGTTAATATTAATATATAAACATATGTTGGTTATGTTAATAGTAGTGGAGTTATTAGTG